ATATCTATTGAAATTATGTTGGGGTAGAGGGTGTCACATGAGAGGAGTGGGAGTTGAGAGTATGGGTGTGTGAATAAGGCAAAGGAATGGGTGTGATTGGGGGGAAGTTGAAAAGTTAAGGGGAACATGGGAGAGGAAGTTGAGAAGTTAAGGGGGCATCTGAAGCTTTACGCCGGGCCCACTAAATTATCGCGCCGGGTGCGGTATCAGTAGAATACCAAAGGTCGGCCTTATCTGATATGACGTCGGGCGGTGCCGTTCAGCGCCGGGCATAGTTAGGGTTACAAACGTGTAAGCATTCAATGTGCCCGACATGGCAGATGGGCGCCTGACATAATTAATGTTCAAACCTTCTAGTGATAAATGCGCTGTGCGCGCCAGGCTTAGCTACCCCCTGGAGCACCTAACTTTTAATGCGCCCGGTGCGCCAATAAATGCGTCGGGCTTGGTCGTTCCAGTAGCCATAATGAAGGTTGAGTCGGGTGCAATTTGAAATTGAGCCCGGCGTGGGTGTTGGCAGAGACCAAATGGCTTTAGGTGCGCTGGGCGTGTCTATGTCGTGCCCGGCGTGATTAATTCTATAAAGCTTTCACCTAGGCTTTTCCACTCCTCATACTCCCAACATATTCAACTTAAATCTATCCACTCAAGCATGATTCACACACTTAACACATAATACCAAACACAATAACACAATACAACATACATATCATAAAATATACACAATCACAAAACAAGTCACATAAACGAGTATAGCATATAATTAGAGCACAAGCATACTAAGGGCTAAAACACAAGTGACTGGAAAGCATATAACAACACAGTTCAGAACTCTGGGTTGCCTCCCAGGAAGCGCTTGTTTACTGTCCCGAGCCTGATAAGAAGAGACCTCAAGGGTCTCTGAAAGAAAAGATACAATAGAGTCTTTCGACTTCTCCACCCAAGTAGGGTTTCAACCGCTGTCCATTCACGACCCAGCTCCTTTGTGCCTCCGGATCTTCAATTTCTATGGCACCATAAGGTTTCACCTCCTTAACTCTGAAAGGGCCAGACCACTTTGATCTCAGTTTTCTAGGGAAGAGTTTGAGCCTGGAATTGAACAGAAGCACCGACTGGCCTGCCCTGAACTCTCTCTTCAGATTTTTCTTGTCATGATAGCTCTTGACTTTTTCCTTGTAAAGCTTGGATGATTCATAGGCTTGAAGCCTCAATTCATCAAGAGCATGCAACTCCAACTTCCTCTTCTCACCAGTGTTGAGAGGATCAAAATTCAACAACTTCAAAGCCCAATAAGCTTTGTGCTCCAGTTATACGGGAAGATGGCAAGCTTTCCCATACACCAACTGAAATGGAGTGAGACCAATTAGAGACTTGAAGGCGGTTCTATAAGCCCATAGAGCTTCATCAAGCTTTGTAGACCGGTCCTTCCTTGAAGCTGACACAGTCTTCTCCATAATCCTCTTGATCTCTCTGTTAGAGACCTTAGCTTGCCCATTGGTTTGAGGGTGATAGGCAGTAGCAACCTTATGATGGACTCCATAATGTTCTAGAGCCCTCTCCAACTGAGCATTGCAGAAGTGTGAACCTCCATCACTGATAAGTACCCTGGGGGTGCTAAATCTGCTGAATATGTGCTTCTTGAGAAACTTCACTACTGTTTTGCCATCCGCCTTGGGTGTAGCAATGGCTTCAACCCATTTTGAGACATAGTCCACTGCCCCCAGAATGTATTCATTTTTGAAGGAAGAAGGCAGTGGGCCAACCAAATCTATGCCCCAGCAATCAAACACCTCAACCTCCTGCATATTCTGTAAGGGCATCTCATGCTTTCTTGTGATTCCTCCGACCCTCTGACAACTGTCACACTACTTGGCATTACTGTGGGCATCTTTGAAGAGTGTCGGCCAGTAAAATCCAGCTTGAAGCACCTTGGCAGCTGTTCTTTCTCCATTGAAGTGCCCTCCATACGGAGAGTTGTGACAGTGCAACAAAATACTCTTGGCCTCCTCTCTTGAGACACACCTCCTCAATAGGCCGTTTGAACCAATCTTGAACAGGTGAGGGTCATCCCATACATAGTAGGTAGCATCACGGAGGAACTTCTTTTTCTGGTGCCATGTGAAATCCTCAAGAATAACTCCAGCTGCCTTGAAGTTTGCTAAGTCCGCAAACCAAGGCCGCTCTTGCACCATGAACAATCTTTCATCAGGGAACTCCTCCAAGATCTCCCTCTCCTTCAGGGTCACCTCATCATTTATGAGCCTTGAGAGGTGGTCAGCAACCAGATTTTCCTTGCCACTCTTGTCTTTTATCTCTAAATCAAACTCTTGAAGCAGAAGAATCCACATTATGAGTCTTGGCTTGGAATCCGGCTTGGTGAGTAAGTACTTAATGGCTGGATGATCTGTGAACACAACCACTTTGGAACCAATCAAAAAGGACCGAAACTTTTCCAATGCAAACACTATGGCTAGCTACTCTTTTTCAGTGGTGGCATAATTAATTTGTGCCTCATTTAAAACCTTGCTAGTATAGTGAATAGCATGAAAAATTTTAGTCCTCCTTTGGCCTAAGACTGCCCCAACCGCATAATCACTAGCATCACACATGAGTTCAAAATCCAGTGTCCAATCTGGTGCAGTGATTATGGGTGCAGAGGTGAGTCTAGCCTTTAAAGTTTCAAAAGCTTTCATACAAGAATCATTGAAACAAAAAATAGTGTCTTTGTTTAGGAGATTGCTTAGGGGTCTGGCTATCATTGAAAAATCTTTTATAAATCGTCTGTAAAAGCTAGCATGCCCTAATAAACTCCTAATACCTTTGACATTAATGGGTGGAGGGAGTTTTTCTATTACTTCCACTTTGGCAGGGTCAACTTCAATGCCCTTGTGAGAGATCTTGTGCCCCAAGACTATCCCCTCAGTCACCATGAAATGACATTTTTCCCAGTTGAGGATAAGGTTGGTCTCCAAGCATCTTCTAAGCACCACGTCAAGATTGGTCAGGCACTCGTCAAATGAAGACCTGAACACAGAGAAATTGTCCATGAAGACCTCAATGCTCTTCTCCACCAAGTCGGAGAATATAGCTAGCATGCATCGTTGAAATGGTGCAGGAGCATTGCACAGTCCAAATGGCATGTTCCGATAAGCAAAGACACCAAAAGGACAAGTGAAAGCGGTCTTCTCCTGATCTTCTGGATCCACCACAATCTGGTTGTAGCCTGAATACCTATCAAGAAAGCAATAATAAGTTTGGTCAGCTAATCTCTCAAGCATCTAATCCATGAATGGGAGTGGAAAATGATCCTTCCTGGTAGCCTTGTTGAGCTTCTGATAATCAATACACATTCTCCACCCCGTGACCGTTCTAGAAGGAATTAGCTCATTCTTCTCATTCTGAGTCACCGTGATGCCACCCTTCTTTGGAACCACTTGCACAGGGCTCACCCATGCACTATCAGAAATGGGGTAGATCATGCCGACATCCAACAGCTTTATCACTTCCTTTTTTACCACCTCCTTCATCACAAGATTAAGCCTCCTCTGTGGTTGAGCAACCGGCTTGTACTCATCCTCCATAAATATCTTATGCATGCAATAGGCTGGGCTAATTCCCTTGAGATCAGAAATAGACCAACCAATTGCCCCTTGATAGAACTTCAAAACTCTCACAAGCTTCTCCTCCTCCAATGTGGATAAGGAACTACTTATGATAACCGGTTTGCTTCCACCTTCTTCTAGAAACACATACTTGAGATGAGAAGGGAGTATTTTCAACTCAAGCTTCGGGGTAATCACCTCCCCTTCCTCCTTCAAATCTTTCATATGTCCTGAATCCGATGTCACCTCCTTATATGAGTCAAGGCTCTTCAAACATGCCTCAATCTCTCTATCTTCTTCCTCATGGAGGTACTCAACCATATTGATTAGGACTTTCTCCAAAGGGGTAGTGAAAGAATGTTGTTTGTGTTATGTGTTAGTTGTTAGAATCATGTTTGAATGAGTAAATATAGGGTACATCTTGTTTGGAATGTGAGGAATGAGGCAATTCTGTGTCTAGGTGGAAATAAGACCTGATCCTAATTTAAAACCTGGGCAAATTGACCTTTTAAAGTGATTACGCGCTGGGCGTGACTCTTTTGCGCCCGGCCTAGTACTCAATTTTTGGTCTTTGGAACCCACCACGCTGGGCGCGTTTAACGCATGAAGCAATAATGTAAAAGAAGTCAAGCAGTGGTCAAAGAGACTCATAGAAAGAGAAAGGAAGGAGATAGACCTGGATAATAGAAAGAGATAGGAAATTAGAGAGTTTTAGGGTTTCTTTACCTATTAAAATAACTATTTAATATCTTTTTTTAAAAAAATATTATTATTGATTAGGAGAAATTTCAAAATTATTATTCATTAAATAGTATTTATAGTACCAATATAAACTTCATAGTCAGTAAGAATATTTTAAAATTTTAATTAAAAATTATTTTAGGTGTAATTTTAAAATTAAGTATTTTTAATTTTATAGTAGTATATTAATGTTAAAAAAAAATTGGAGGCCTAAAATCCTTGTGCTACTTGCTTGGGTCTCTTAGATATTAAAACAAGTTTTTTAAAAATTTCATGATTAGGAAAATAATTTTAAATTTAAAAGATAAAAAATAAATTTACCTTAAATTTAAAGGACTAAAAACATATTTAAACGTATATATTATAATTGAGCTTGAGCAAATAGAGAGGACCGGAAGAAACTGAAATTATCATAGATTATTAGGTAGCGGTATTAAGAAAAATCATTAAACTAAACATATAATAGTTGTAAATATATAAAGTATTAAAATATAGAATGAAGAAAAAATCACAAATGAGAATTATTATAATCTCATATATATATATATATATATATATTATAGATTATATAATATTTATTTGATAATATAGATATTGTAATTTTAAAGTTAATATTATTAGTATCCATGATTACTAATTAATCAAACATAAATGTATCAATTCTTAGTAATTAATGACATTAGAAAAATATTAAATATTATTTTTTATTTTTAGTTTTATTTGAATTTTAAATCAAGTATCGTTAATATATTTTATTAATTTATTTGTTTCTTGTTAAAGAAATTAATTCTTTTTGTTTTTATATATAATAATATTTATATGTAGAAAAGCTTTGGAGAAAAAAGTGTATTGTAGAAGTTGTTCTGTTTATATTATTTTTCATAAAAGCATGCATTTCGTGGTGACAAAGTAATTGTGATATTCTTATTCTAGATCGTGGCATTAGTTTTAAGTAAGGAATTACTTTTGGAAATTGGAAGAATCAAAGAAAGGAATTACTTAAATTTAAGTAAGGAATTAGTTTTTGAAATTGGTAGAATGAAAGAAAAGAATTACTTAAAGTTGATGTGCATTGACAGAATAAAACATTGAAGCATTCATTCTAAGTTATAAATATTTCGACTTCACGGATATGAAATTATATTTATTGGAGAGTCTGAAGCAGGTAAATTTAGCTGAAGACTATCAAAGGGACAATTAGAAGGAGCGGCGTGCAGGTACACTACCATAATCCATTTCATTTTGAATCATAAAAGCATATATATAGTTAGTTATTTAGACTCAATTAAACATACCATTTTCTGTCTCTAATTTGCTTTTGCACTATATGTATTCTTTTTGAATTATACAAATCCATACACATCATAAAAGCATATATATAGTTAGTTATTTAGTTTCTATTAAACATACCATTTTCTGTCTCTAATTTGCTTTTGCACTATATGTATTGTTTTTGAGTCCTTGTAATAAAAACAGTTGAGTTGAGCTTTGATATACAAAAGCACATAAAGAGGAGTTTCTTCCATAAAAGCACATACCAAGGACAAACTATATTCATTCATATATATTTGCAGCTATGTCTATACTTTTGGACTGGATAACTAATAATGACTTGCGAAAAGGGAGGAGGCAAATTTTCCTCACTAAGACTATTGGCTTCCACCGGGACAAGGCGGAGGACATATTGGTGACAAATATTTATGACTTTTTCTTCATACTATCACTACTCATTTTCTTTTTCCTACTATTGCAATACAACATATTTTACTTTACGTGTTTAGTAAACAAATCAAATCAAAATGTTTTATTATAGTCACCAAATTAATGATATCCTAATTTAAAACCTGGGCAAATTGACCTTTTAAAGTGATTACGCGCTGGGCGTGACTCTTTTGCGCCCGGCCTAGTACTCAATTTTTGGTCTTTGGAACCCACCACGCTGGGCGCGTTTAACGCATGCCCGGCGGATATCAGATTTTGGACCTCGTTGAGTTTTACTGATATG